TCCCCTTCCATCTTTCTAACACATTCGGCGGCGGCGTGGTGGTGATGGTGAGTGTCCATTGAAGCGCGCGGTGCGCGCGCGCGTGTGTGTGTGTGTGTGTGTGTGTGTGTGTGTGTGTGTGAGAGAGAGAGAGAGATTGGTGCGGTCTGAAGGGCAGGATCGGGTATATATGTAATCTGTGCGGTTTTCGTCCATCGTTGGTGGCTGATCGTTCCTTTGCTCGTGTGATCCGTTCATCTATTTGATTGATTGATTGTCGACACGTATCTGGTGCGACAGTCCCATCCTCTCTCTCTCTCTCTGTGTTTTATTTCAACTCGCAAAGAGAGGGGAAGGGAAGAGCGAAGGAAGATGGACCTCCCGTCGGTGAAAGATGCGTTTGAACGAGTCGTGAAGAAACAGAAGACGGCTTATTTTAAAGCAAGCGAGGTAATCGACAAGATGTTGCTGGAGATCGAGCAGACTAAGCAGGGGATGATGATGATGGATACTACGGGGGCTGTTGGAGTCGATGGAAATGGGCTGGGAGAAAGAGAAGGTGGGGGAGGAGGAGGAGGAGGAGGAGGAGAGGCGCCGACGGGTTTTGAATCTAATCACCGAACAGCGCTGCTGGAGTTAAATACCCGGTTGTCAAACATGGCACCTGTTGGGCAGATTTCCGCGGCGCAGAAGGAATTGAACGCGGCTCTGAGCAAATATGGCAAAGTCGTGGACAAGGCCTTTTGTCCCGACATCTCGAAGTCTTGTCGCGATCTGGATTTCGATCCCGCCCTGATTAATCAAGCCATCGCGCAGCATTTTTACAGAGAAGGGTTATTCGAATTGGGTGATTGCTTCGTCAGCGAGGCCAATGTTCCTGCCGCCGACGCGCTCAAGGACCAGTTCCTTGAGATGTACCAGATTCTCGAGCAAGTCCGCCACCGGAACCTTCAGCCGGCGCTTGATTGGGCCACGCGTCATCGGGAGGAGCTCTCCCAGAAGGGTGGATCCTGCAGTCTAGAGTTCCAACTGCATCAACTCCAGTTCATCCACGTGTTTCAAAAACAAGGTCAGCGCGCCGCTCTCGACTACGCGCGCGCCAATTTCCGCGCCTTCGGCGTCTCTCATTTCGAAGAGATCAAGCGCTTGATGGGCTGCATGCTCTTCCCGCGCAAATTGGACACCTCTCCGTACGCCGATTTCCTCTCCCCTTCTTTGTGGGACGAAGTCGCCACCCAACTCACACGCGAGTGCTGCAATCTCCTCGGTCAGTCTTGGGAGAGTCCGCTCTACGTGACGATATCGGCAGGATCGATGGCGCTGCCGACGCTCTTGAAGCTGGCGCGCGTTATGGCAAATAAGAAGGCGGAGTGGGCGACGTGCAAGCAGCTGCCAGTGGAGATAGAATTGGAGAAGGAGTTTCAGTTCCACTCGATATTCGCGTGTCCTGTGTCGCGCGATCAGAGCACGGCGGACAACCCGCCAATGTTGATGCCGTGTGGACACGTGTTGTGCAAGCAATCGATTAATAAGCTGGCAAAAGGATCAGATAGAACGTTTAAATGTCCGTATTGCCCAATGGAGTCGAGGTCCTCACAGTGTAGGGAGATTCGGTTTTAGAGCGGGGGGGGAGAGGAGGGGGGGGGGGAGGGAGGGAGGGAGGGAGGGAGGGAGGGAAGGAAAGAGCAAGGGAGGGAGAAAACGATGAAGGGGGCAGGCGGAGGAGAGGGGGAGGGGGGAAGGGGGAGGGAAGAAGACCCTATGCTAGCCTAGGCCCACCTGCTCACCGGTTTTCGTTGACGTCTTCAACATTTTCTTTATAGGTGCGAATTCAATAGCGCAACACAAAGCAAATTTAACCCCCCACTCCCAGCTGGCTGCTCTCTCTCGCTAAAGCTATCTTTGTTTCTTAATTAGGAAAGAAGAGTTGTCCAGTAGTAGGTGGGTTGAAGGATTAGGTAAGGTGTATGGATGCGTGCCTTTAGTAGTTCTGGATTCAGAAGTGACCATAGGGAAAGGTTTTAGTGGAGAAGAGGTAGGTGTGTTTCTGACATGGAGGGAGGGAGGGAGAGAGAAGGGGGGAATGATGGCGGGCCTGGATGCATGCCATGCCTGTAGGAGGAGACATGCAGAGGAGAGGACTTCATTCGGTCGTTTTGTTTTGTTCTCGCTCATTAGTCGCACGGATTTCCATTCGCGAGGGAACATTGCTGTGAATGTCAGTGCTCCTCTCTCTCTCTCTGTCTGTATTAAGCCGAAACGGGGAGCTCAGTCTGGGAAGACAGGTGGAGAAGGGGAGGAGTGGTGGTGAATTTCCATCATGGAAACCTCTTCTTTCTCTTCCCGCATCATCCCCATTCTCTTCATGTATAGCACAGCTGACAGATCACCCCCAGCTCCCGGTATATTAGACTCCGTTGAGCGAGAGCATACGGGAATGACCAGTCATTGTTTCACAAGCAATCCACCTGAAATGGGGAGAGAGAGAGAGAGAGAGAGAGAGAGAGAGAGAGAGAGAGAGAGAATGGAGAGAGAATTTGGGAGGTGACAGGTCATGGAAGCGGATGCTCGGGGAGGGAAGGGAGCGGGTGCATTTCTAGACTGCCGAATGGAGAGAGGAAAGTGGGGAGGTGACAGGGGAGGGGAGGGATGGGAGGGTGGTGGAGAGAACCCCAGGGATGCAGATCTTTGTTAAGGACGAGAAGCGGAAGGGTGTATACATTGCGGGCAAATGGGGCAAGGAAGGGACATGGACACAAGCGAATCGAGATAAATCGTCTATGTTGGCCACTGGAAGGCGAGACCCTGAAGAGAGAGAGAGAGAGAGAGAGAGRGAGAGGGGGGAGGGGAGGGGGGGCTTGAAAACATAGGACCGGAGGGGTTGGTATGATGATAGATACACATATGCTGCTAGCGCTTAATGGGCGATGAAATTGGCAGTTTCCCCCAACAGCGCAATTGTGGTGGGGGTTATAGGGCTATGGAAGGGGCAATTTCGTATTGGTGACGATTCATGGCTGCGCAAGGTGTATAATGATGATATATTCACGATGATGAACCTGGTCTTGTCGTTGGCAAAGGGGGAATCTCAGGTTCTGTGGACAAAAGATGGAGGTGTTCACGTTTTGATAGTAAGATGACGAAGAACCTGTGCGCCAACCCCTGCTCCTCTTTCGACCTGCAGTGGTAGTTGTTGGCTTGCAAAGGTCTCACGGCCGCTCTTCTACTGTGGCTCGCTTGTTTTTTCAGTTATAGCGCCTGACCGGCTGCCACTCTCACGCACACACAGAGAGAGAAAGAGAGAGAGAGAGAGAGAGAGAGTTCTCTCTTGGTTATTTTCATCGTTCGTTGCGTTAGTTGAGCCGGCCGTGAGTCTTACCCTACTCCAGCAACAAAGCGTCTCCTCGTATTCCTCCTCTAATTGCTCCTCTTCCACCTCCACCTCCATTCCTTCTCTCCTGCTCTCCTCTTCGTCCTTTGCCTCCTGCTCTGTTTATATAGCGACCATGTACAGCCGGAGTTCCTATCTGTTTGTCCCGTTGCCGGCGCCCTCTTTCTCTCCTCTCTCTCTCTCTCTCTCTTCCCTCTCCTCTCTCTCTCTCTTCAAACTCTGTTCTCTCGCTTTCTCTTGCCTTGCTTTGTACAAATCCTTTTCATTGAGCTCTTGACTCGAGCTCGTTCTTCCTGTCTTCCAATTGATGTGCGGCTGGCTATTCGCTTCGTTCCTCGGTAGGCTAGGCTTTGCTCTGTTCAATAATCGACTGTTTGTTTCCTCTGTAGTTTCAACAAGAGAGGCTGAGTGTTCGCCTCTTTTTCCACGGTTAATGATGTATATCTGATAGAATGCGTGTCCTTTGCGCAAGTACCCTTGGCCCGTTCCGTCCCTCTTGTTCGTTGCTGCGTGTTTGCATCAGGTCGTCGTCGTTTTCCTCGTAAATGTGGTGGATATGGTGATTGTCGTGAGGAGAAAAGTGATGGCGTTCTTGAACGAAGAACGGCATTGTTATTATTTGCTCATGCACTTTTGGGATTCGTCGTATTTGTGTGTGTCTGTGTGTGTGTGTGTGTGTGTGTGTGTGAGAGAGAGAGAGAGAGAGAGAGAGAGAGAGAGAGAGAGAGAGAGAGAGAAGGCAGGAGGAGGGAGAAGCGAGAGAACACGGCCAGAGTCGTGGTGGAAAGAGGAGTGACGGACTTGCTACTTTGGGAAAGATAGTGAGGGGGGGCTTCTCTTCGCCCTGACCTTTTTAGGCAAGAAAGAAATCGACAGATACTTTACGATGAAAATCCGAATTCTCTGCGAAGAGATCAATTGGATTGATCTGGGGATCTCGGGAAATGAACGTGTATCTCATTTGCTTCTGAACCAGTGGACTAAGCAACAAGCAACCGATCAGAGGTTCTGAGTCCCCAGAATGTGACGTGAATGGGGAGCTGTTCGGCTGCATGGTTAGTGGAATATTGTCTGACAGAGTCGTCGTTTGAGGGCACAGCATGGTGAATAATGTCCCCCTCCCCTCCCCCTTTCCCCCTCCCTCTCCTCCACGGGGAATCGGTGCCCTGCGGCCTATTGGACAAAAAGGGAAGCTATTTCCACGTGTACACGACCAAGTACATACCGTGAATGGGTTCCGTGGATTACAGCGCGGACGTCATTGCGGATCTGTGCTGTGCTGGGAAAGCCGCCTCTGGTGGGAAAAGCCGTGGAAAAAAAACGGGTGGCTGATCTCAATGACGAGCAATCGGATGGTGTGAATTGTGAATTGAGACCGGGACCGGGACGAGGCAACTGTTATCGGCTGCGAAGCAGAGGAGGACACGTGGAAGAGGGAAGCCGAAGGGAGCAAAAAGGAGAGAGGAGAGAGGAGGAGGAGGAGGAGGAGGAGGAGGAGGAGGAGGAGAATAGATGAACAGCTCTAGGTTACGTAATGGATGCACGTGGCGACGACGAAGAGGGAAGAAGTGGAAGAGACAGGTGTAAGGAGGGAATGGGGACGAGGAGGAAGATTGTGAAGAAGGGAAGATGACGAACAGTTTGATGGTTATAGACATGAATGATGTCAGATGCTGTGATGATGACACGTGGCGTTCATCTGGCCTTGCATTCGCCACTATCTGGGAGGTCCTCTTTTGCCTAATTGGTGGCCAAAGCCTCTGATTCTCCCCTTCTGGGCGCGGGACGCCTCAACCTGGTACGGTACCGGGCCTTCCTCGCGCAGGAGGCCTGTTCCTGATGTAGGAGTCGGTTAACGACACGTCAATCACGCAGTCTGTCGGTATGTTATGGAAACTGAACCCGGCTTATGCGTTCCCTCTACGCACAGCATGCGGTTTTTCCATATTAGGACGGATCAATTGATTGGTTGATTGGTTGATTGATTGGTTGGTTGATTGATGGATTGGTTGATTGATTGGTTGATTGATTGATTGATTGATTGATTGATTGATTGGTTGACTGGTTGATTGGTTGATTGGTTGATTGATTGATTGATTGATTGATTGATTGGTTGAAAAGCGTTACGCGAATGGATATGGGCTGCGTTTCTGGTTGTGGGATAGAGACGATCGAACGTCTCTGCGATGACGACGGTTGGTTGTACTGTCCGCAGGCCGATGGGTGGTGAACGGATTGATTGACAGATTTATGAGGGTCCTGATTTTATGACGGGTATGATTTTGGATGAATGGCAGTGATTGGTCAATCTATATGAATAGTCGAGCCACTAATGGTTTAATTCGACTCAAGTGGTTGATTGATTGATTGATTGGGTGAGTGTGTGAGTCATGTGATTAGAAACTATGGGGCGTGTCGGGTGGCTGGCTCTTCGTTTCGATTGATTGATCGATAGATTGATTGATTGATTGATTGATTGATTGATTGATTGGTCTTCGAAGGATATATGACATCCGGCTGAAGGCGTACTGTGGCTAGGAGCGGGATGTGAGATAATGCTGGCTGTGAAGTGGTTCAGTAGAGTAGGAGAGGACGCTTTAAAGATAGACGGGGTGGGTACTGATTGATAGATTGGGTGATCGCCTTGCCTAGCTGATCCTGTTGAGTGGTTGGTTATTTGCCTCGTAGTACTGCAATCCACAATGATAATGATGATGTCGATGGTCATGATGATGATGATGATGATCATGATGATGATGACGGTGACGGTGACAATGATGGCGGTGATGATGGTGATGGTGAAGGCGAGGAGTGTAAGTAGTAGCATTGACCGTGTGTTTCGGTCCGTAGTCTGTACACAACATAGGGGGGCGCCGGCTTTGCTGAACAGGATGGCGATGGAGTTAACTCTCTTGCGGCCTGTCTTTTATTCGCAAGCTCCATCGAATAACTGCATGTTTTCTTCTCTTATCTTCTCAGAATTGAATTCCCATTTCAGACGCTCTCTCTCTCTCTCTCTCTCTCTCTCTCTCTCTCTCTCTAACTGCATGTTTTCTTCCCTTATTCTTCTCAGAATTGAATTCCCATTTCAGACGTTCTTACTCTCAGCCCTCTCCCCCTTTCCCTGTCCCACCACACCCCCTCCCCTCTCTCTCTCTCTGCTCTCCCCTACTCTCCCTTCTGTTCCTTGCCCCCAGAAAAAAACCTTTCTGTTTTTTTTTTTTTTTTTTTTTTTACGACGAAGGTTCTGTACCAAGCGTACCCCCAGGAATCCGCTTATCCATTGCACCCAGGATTCTTTCATTTTCCTATTGCGTAAATTGGCGTGCCTGTTGTTATACACAACTCCAACAAAAAAAGGCATGACTGTGCCAGACTCTGACTGTGTGTCTGTTTTGTGTGGGGTGGGGTGGTGTGTATGTGTGTGCATTCTCTTTTTGGAGAGAGAGAGAGAGAGAGCATTTTATCCTCATCGTGCGGGTGAAATGAGAGTGGATCCATGACAGGCCAGTTCTGTGTGAATGTGTGGTTTAGAAGGGTCTGCCTTTGTGTGCGGGGGAGAGAGAGAGAGACACAGAGAGAGAGAGAGAGAGAGAGAGAGAGAGAGAGAGAGAGAGAGAGAGAGAGAGAGAGAGAGAGAGAGAATTTTATCCTCATTGTGCGGGTGAAATGAGAGTGGATCCATGACAGGCCAGTTCTGTGTGAATGTGTGGTTTAGAAGGGTCTGCCTTTGTGTGCGGGGAAGAGAGAGAGAGAGAGAGAGAGAGAGAGAGAGAGAGAGAGAGAGAGAGAGAGAGAGAGAGAGAGAGAGAGAGAGAGAGAGAGGAGAGGGCTCTCTCATTTTATCCTCATTGTGCGGGTGAAATGAGACTGGATCCATGGCAGGCCAGTTCTGTGTGAATGTGTGGTTTAGAAGGGTCTGCCTGTGTGTGCCGGCTGGGCCGTGCTATCTATCTTTCAGATGTCTGGGTGGCGTGTCTGGGTAATATTACAATATTGAAAATCGAACAGACAACAGCCTGGAAGACTCCTTACATTAATCAGTTCATCTGCGAGATCACGTGCGTGCGGCACAGCCTGGAAGACTCCTTGCATCGGTTCATCTGCGAGATCATGTGCGGCGTAAGTGTGCTGGTGTGTGCAAGTGAGCACACATCTCTCTTTTGTTGGTGGACATGGGAAGTACATGCGGTGGTGTGTCTATGTGGGGATATTCTTCACGTGTGTACGTGTGCGTGCGTGTCTTAAGTGGGGATATTCTTCCACGTCTATACATGTGTGTGTGCATGTTTTCAAACTGTTACTGTATTTCTTCATTATGCCCAGGTCCCTTGTATCTGTGAATCTGTGATAGAGCTGGGCAAATAGATTATTATAAAATAAGGTTCTCACATGGCTTCCACTACGAGAAAATCCTTGCATTATATATTACAGCCCTTACTGAAAACAAACTGCACTGACTACGTGAAGCCTGCAAGGAAATAATAAAAACTGCAACAAGAAGGATAAAACCCGAAAATAGTTTGAATATACCCGAAAATAGTTTGAATATATTGGAGAATCAGGCACCCCCTCTCTCTGTGCGCGTGCGCGCGTGCGTGTGTGTGTGTGTGTGTGTGTGTGTGTGTGTGTGTGTGAGAGAGAGAGAGAGAGAGAGAGAGAGAGAGAGTTGACGCAAGGATTTGCTATTGAAAGCATGTCCTTTGTACCTTTGATACGGAGGGTACCTGCAGTGTGTATGTGGTAGAGGGGAGTTGGGTCCGTTGTGAACGAACTGATGCATGGAGCTACAAGAATGACAGGGTTACGTAGTCCCCAGGGAACGAGTTTTGTTTCTCATCCTACGAGGGCAAGACACCCAGGAGAGAGAGGAGCCAAGGAGCCCAGAGCTCCTTCTCCCCTGGAGCCAAGGCAGCTTAACCCCTCCTCCCAGAGGGTAATATCCTGTCATATACTTGGTACCCCTAGACCGCTTGGGAACCGACACCTCTGCCCATGAGCACTGAGAGGGACTGATTCCAAGGTCCCTGATGCTTCCCAAGAATTTCCTCCTGCCCGCCCTCATTGTGAAGGTTCTCCTCCCGGAACCTGCCTCTGAAACCGGAGTTCACTGCGAGCGGGGCCGGCTGGAAACCCTTTTGTCCTCTGGTGGATGGAAGAGTCGGCCTCCTTAGCTCAGAACTTTTGTCTCCAAACGAGGGAGGAAATCGTGCACAAGGGGGTTGTGTAGAGATAGGTGAGATAAGTCTTCCACAGGCAAATCCTCACTGCGGGACGGAAAGGATGCATGGTCAAATTCCTACTTACCTGCTGGTGAAAAAAGGGGGCAGTCCTGTATTACTGGTCGCGACGCGCAGTGGACGACCAGGTGTGTGCGCGTTGATTGACGGGAGCTCGGGCGTAGCGCGGGATGTAGTTAAGGCAGTGGACAGAAAGGAGGGGGGGTTGATTACCTGGTTGCCACCCACAGTGAGCAGCCAGGTGGGGATTGATGATAGAGAGGAGGTGTTGCTTCTAAGGGACACAGGCAAGGAAGGTAGTGACTCTAGTGAGCAACGACCAGTGGTTCGCATCCGTGCGGCAGGGGTGCTCTTCTCTAAGAGGGTCCTCGTCGATCAGCCGCGGGCAGGAATGTTAACTTGTTGACACCAACTTGTGGACAAAGGACTCTATGGAACCCCATTTTACAAAGTGAGTACGCGAGGAGGGGGGCTCAACGTCGCGAGATGGGGTGTTGGGCGGGTTCTGAGCAGCCTCAATTTGTCGTGTCAAACCATGGTTCAAAATTCAAATGCGGGGATGGTTGCCGCGAAAGGCCCGCCGCCTCTTAGTTCGAACCGGGTTCTTGGAGGAGAGTTTCTGAATGCCACTCCCCAGAGAGGGTTAGTCCTGTGGAGCATCTGTAACCCCTCTTGACCTCCGATGCAGGGACATAACCCTCATGCTGGTCCAGGTTCATTCATGGTATTTCTGGGTTATCATCAAAGCTCTTACACTGACATCCCTGCCACTGACAGGGCACAGCAGCAAGGATCGCCATCGGTCGAGCAGGTACAAGGCCCTTGCCACACCGCTGTCTAAATGGAAAAAAATACTGAGTCGATGTGTTCCTGCAAAGAGTGCCAAAATGCATCTGTTGCTGCGAATAGCAATAACGGATGCATCTTGTCACTTCCGTGTAGTAACGGATGCATCCAGCCACTTTCTGGGGAAGATGCGCTCATGATTTTCTCGTTTCGACAGCGGCGTGGTGAGGCCCACAGTGTGCCTTAAGAAATGATTCAAGACAAGTTCAGGAATTATTGGAGGCTGGCAAACTTTGTTGCGGTATCTCGAGACCATTGCCTTTTCTGTTTTCCGCAAAAAAAACTTTAATAAAGAAAATTCGATTAGGCTTTGGGAAATCTGTCAAATTTGGAACAATACAGAGCAAGAAGAAGATGAGCCTCCTGACGAGTCTGTGAAAGTCTGTCACAGCCCCTGTGCAGAAGGCTGCCACACATAAATTGAGAAAGGGTCGCAAATTTTCCTCCTATTGTAAGAAGGAAAAAAAAAAAAAAAAAAAAAAGATTAGGTTGGTCATGCAATAGACGAGTACAGATGTAGCATATATACTCAGGACGCTTTCTGTGACTGTGGCTCAGCAGTCGCTTGTATAACCAACCCAGTGATGGGGAGGAATCAGCGTTGGTGCCAGAATGAATGACACTGTTTAAACCACCGGTACTGGCCCAGCTATCGGCCGCGGGAAAAAATAGAGTAGAAACATTTCTAGTCGGATGAATTTGGGCGCTCCTGTAGTGGCCGGTGCGTTTCCTAAAATTGTGGCTTGTTAACAGGCATAACTTTAGGAAGCACTGGTGGTTTAACACGCTGTGATGGAACATGCTTATTATTAGTTATTAGCTTATCACAGTTTACATAGAATCAGTAGAAGTTCATCATCATCATCATCATCATCATCGTCATATGAGGGACGCCGAGCCCGGTTCTCAGCAAATTCGGTTCGATCACTCCGGGTAGACTGCGAGGACCCTGGCCTCAATCTTCTTATTGGTAATATCAGCCTTGGGCACTGGGCCTTTGAAAAAAAAAAAAAAAAAAAAAAAAAGGTTTACCAGTTTGAAAAGGATGGTGGGGTGCTGGGTAGGCTGTTGCCTGCGACCGTTCGATATCTCAGGGGCAGGCAGGCGAAATCACACGTGCGAGATTCCTTGAATCAGGTCCAGGTCAGAGTGACGAGCTGCTGTCGGTTTAATCTGCGGCAGCGCTGACCAAGTCGTCTGGATGCCGGACTCACTGGATTAGGGTCTCGCCGCACGACACACGAAACGAAAACGAAACGAGGGCATCTCTGCCCACCGAAGGTGGCAAAATACACTCGTTACTATTTATAGCAAACCGATGAACCTGGCTATTTTCTGCAGGAAGATGCACTCGTTTCGTTTTTCGTTTCGTGTCCCGTGCGGCAACGCCCTTAGTCCGGCTGTCCGGATTATCTGGCAGGCCAAATCACACGTGCGAGATTCCTTGAATCAGGTCCTGATCAGAGTGACGAGGTGCTGTTGGTTTAATCCGCGGCAGCGCTGAACAAGTCATCTGGATGCAGAACTGACTCGATTAGTCCGGCTGTCCGGATTATCTGGTCATATCTGGACAAATTCGGTGTTTTGATGGATGAGATATTTCCAGGTCAAAAAAAAAAAAAAAGAAAAGGAAAAAAAATCCACATTTGGAAAGGCCTGTGGGAAATAGCCGAGGGAGTCTGTGCTCGGGAATGTGCCTCACTTCATCCGGAATCGGGAAGCGGTGGATCTCTCACTGGGATAGAATCTCAGGACACCCTCTTCCCTGGGACAAAAGCTCGAACACTTGCTAGGGGGTTGGTTTTAACCGCAGGGCGTTGCCTTGGATAAGGTTTTGAACAGATGTTGAGAGTGGTGTGTGCTGAAGTAATTTGTGTTTGGAAGCAAACGATTTGACGAACAAACGAATTCGTTC